GGTTAAAAAAAGTTTAAAAATATAAAATGATGAGGAAGATATCAATTATGTTCAAATTAATCAAGAAATAAAAAATAAGGTCATAGAAAAATCAGAAATGGATCCAAATATTTTTATGAAAATTTTGGTAATTTTTAAAAGTCAGAAACTATTTTTAAAAATTAAAATAAATGGATAAAATAAACAAAAATAGTAAAAAATAACAAAGTTAGAAACAAAAATAAAAAAAGGTCACCAATATTTGTCACAATGTCATTGGATCATTCCATAATTTTTTCAGAATTAAAAAATATGCAAAAGTATTTTTAAACATTTTAAACAAATCAAATAAGTGTAAATTTCATAAAAACTATCAAAACACAAAAATAAATTGTGAAAAAATAAAAATCAGAAAGAGAATAATCAAAAATATTTTTCATAATTTTTTCAGATTTTTTGGACTAAAAACGAATTTTCTATGATTTTTTGAAGTTTAAAACAAGTAAAATATAAAACTTAGAAAAAGAAAATAAAAGAAAAATATGTGGACCATTGGATGAGAGTCAAAACACGTTAGTAATCAAATCCAAAGGATCTGGCGCGCTGTGCATATCATGGTCTTTACTGAATAAAGCATTAAATCAAATGTAAAATCAGAAATTCAAAAAAACAAATGGCACGCTTTCATTGGTTAGAAGGTGACACGTTGGTCATCTTCAACCTCCAGCCTCACGAATTGTAGATCTCTCAAACTGTAAAATCAGAAGCTCAGACCCTTGTCATTCGTTTAGTCTCCTCAAGACGAAGACAACCATACCCTCGCGCCATTTTTATATAAACTGTAACAGAAGCAATTTGGAAGGAAAGTTTTGAAAGGGGATTTGAAAATACATGGTCCAAACGCGTTTCCAGAAGAAAGTAACTATTGCGACTAGAACCAGGGAAATGAGAGCAACACAATGATTCCAAAGTTTTGAAGAATTGATGAAGGAATCTACTTATTGAAGTTGAGTTGCAGAGCTCTGAAACTGGACTTCTCTAGAGCAATGTAGGGCACGATTCTTGAATGTAAATGTATGGATAGGTTCAGGGAAGATCAAGGAAGCTGAATTGATGGAGAAAATGGATTGAAAAAGGCTTGAGAATAGGATTCGAAGTAGCTGAAATTTGAGTTGGGAAGTAAGTTTGGCAGGGTGATTCTGGCTATCTAAGCTTGGGAAATTGAATGGGGTAGTACATGTATTTATAGCAGAAGCAAATGGGATCAAAAGGAAGGGTGAATGATGCAATTTGGAGGGAATTCGTGCAAACCTGATGCACGAGTGAAGTGTGATCCAAACTTCACCAAAACTCATCCAATTTTTGCATTTTGATGCACTAATCCACTTGGGAAAGTTGGATAATCATGTTTAAACCCAAAACGCGTGCTAATTTGAGGTTTAGAGGTTGTAACATGAAATTCAAATTCTGACTTGCAGGGAAACTTCAATTCTAAGTTACCACTTTTGAAACAATGGCATTTCCACCTCAGGGAGTCTTAAGGCATGATTCTTGATGATTTGGAAAGATGAGGTAACAAACTTTGAAATGGAAAAAGAATGGAATAAATTGGAGGTTTGAGCTGAAAATTACATGGAGTCAAAGTTGGAGAAAAAGAGTTGACTTTCCATACTTAGAAATATTTCAAATTCTTCTTTAAAAAAGACCTATAATCTCTTGCATCCAAACATGGATTTGAACTTAGAATTTGCTCTTGATAAAAAAATATGGAATGACGTAGATATCTTGAATAACATTTTGAAATTTTAACCACTCAAAATCTCCAAAAATTGAGTAAGGTATAATTGTTTGCATTCTTAAGGCAACTTCAATCCTTTTTTTTTTACTTTGCACATAAAATAAGGTATGAAGTACACATCTTTAAGATCATCATGGAAAAAGAATGGGCTCATGTTAATAAAAATTGACCAAGTTATGACCATTTGAAGTCACATATGGGAAATTAGGCATTCAACTGGATGACTTGTAATCTTTCTTCTTCACCAATTTCCTTCCACATGAAAAATCTTTGGAACTTTTGAAGTGATTTGTTAGTAATTCTTTGAAGATAAGAATGTTTTTGGAATCACTAAAAAATACCAAAAGATGAGCAAGATATGCCTCTTTGAAGTCCAAAACCCTAGCCTCTATATCAAGAGAATGCTTGGTGGAACTTTGCCAAATTTGAACAAACTTTTTGTGCCAATACTCTTCCTTTTTGAATAGAAATTGTTGAGGATGATGATGAGGACCTATGGCCACCAACCAATCTCATACCAAATTCAAAACAACTTCAATGGTGAGGTTTAAATTTCTCAAGACTTTGACCAGGGCATGGAAATAAACTCATGAACCCATGAAGCAACATGTTAAAAACCTCATTGCCTTGACCTACATTATCAACAAGTGAGACAAACCAATATTGCATTTTGTTAATTTAGAGAGAAAATCAAAGCAAAATATCCATGATCATAAGAGAAAACAAGTTAAGGTGCTTGGTAACTCCTCATTGAGAAAAGCTAAAGATAAGTAGAAGAACGAAAAGCCCTAATGTGATTTTGTGGTGGTTAAAACAATATGGTATGATGAAGGGATCTTAGGGGGAAAAATTTGGGTACAACATTCAGTACTTGGGGAGAGCTTGTTGACTCCTTTTTGAAACATTATTATTATAATACTGCCATGGCTCTTAGTCGTGCTCAGCTTCAAGGGATGATACAAACATCTGAAGAGTCGTTCAAAGAGTACGCTCAAAGATGGCGTGAACTGGAAGCAAGGGTGAAACCTCCTCTCTTAGATCATGAACTGATTGATTTATTCATGGGTACTTTACGAGGTCCTTATCTCTAACATATACTCAACAATACCTCTACTTCTTTCTCTGATATGGTCATTATTGGAGAACGTGTGGAAACTTGTACTAAGGCTGGAACGATCCAAGGTATCCCTAACAATACCATCAACAATATTGGCATTGGTAGAAAGCCTTTTTCTGGTTTCGTCAAGAAGAAAGAGGGTGGGACTAGTGCTATCACCATCCACCAAGGAAAAGCTCCTGCATATCTTCAAGTTCGGGATCCTTATTTTCCCACAACTGTTGTTGTTCCTAATCAATATGTTCCTCAAGTGTATGGTGCTACAACTCCAGCACCCTGGATGGCCCAACAATGTCCTTTCACTCCTCAACCACAGTATCTTCCACAACAACAATTTGCACCACATCCAAATTACCAACAACTGAGTCAGCAAGCCCAAGGCCTGAGAGCTCCACAAAGACAAAGAGCACCTGAAAGAAGATTTGATCCTATTCTTATGTCCTATGCTCAGATTCTCCCTTAATCACTTTCCAATAAGTTGGTTCAACTATGTTAACTTGGTCCACCACCTAATCCTCTCCCAGGGGGTATGACATTAATGCTTATTGTGAATTTCATTCTGGAGCCCCAAGTCACACGATTGAGAATTGTAGAGCATTCAAATGTAAAGTTCAATACCTCCTCGATGCAAAGGCCATCAATTTCAACCCTGTTGGTCCCAATATTCAGAATAATCCCATGCCTCCTCGCCCAGGGGTAGCCGTCAATGTGTTGTACCCCAATTTTTGACCTAAGATCCCATTTTTATTTTTGCATTTTTTAAAGATAAGTCAAGGTCACGAAATATGGTCGATTTTAACGTCTCACCTTCGAGCTTTGACTATGCGAAGATTGTCAAGTGTTTTGAACATTTTTAGCATATGTATCACTAATTTCTAATCGCATACAAAGGTGTATGTTCATGTTTTCTTTTGTGTCATGTGCAGTGATAGGTCTGAATCAAGAGCATCAAATGTCGCGGCTCAATTAAGGTTTTGAGTCTCCCAAGCCAAAAGAACGGTTGATTATGGATTCTCGAAGACTGATTCATCAAGGCACACCGTTGCACCCTAAATTTCGCCCCTAATATGTTTTAGCCGCACTTTCATATCATATTTTGTTATTTAGTCACAATCATTAGTAAATATCTTCATTCATCACATTTTGCATCATTAGTCGTATTTAAGTTGACCAGAAAAAGTCAGTTTAAATCAAAGTTTGCATCGTCTTTCAGTTGTAAAATACCCGACATTTCATTTCATTCATTTTTATCTGTTTACTATTTTCTTGCACTGCTCCAAATTGTTTATATGTCGATAATAAAATATTTCGGTTTTATAGACCGACTGTTAAAAGCGATTTGACACTATGCGGGAAAGTAGCGAGAAAATATTTCAAGTTTTCACCTTTTACCGATCATTTTATGAATCTGCGCTTCGCGTAGATTATGACGGTATGCTCGCTTTATTTATTCGGTACAGTTTGAAGTCTCGTTTTTAACCTTAAACGTCTGTTTAGTCTGATATTTTTATTATTATTTTATTTTTGATTTTTGACTTCTTGAATATTTTTTCTTTAATCTTTGTGACATGTAGATTATTTTAATGTGTTCATTTTATTTTTTCGGATAAATTTTCGTCCGTTTTTTATCATTTTCGGTCATTTTGGGTCTTTATTTTTTATTCATAAAATATTCAAAAAAATCATTTTAAATTGAGTTAATTTTAATACATTTAGTTTTTTTGGTTATTTTTATCATTTAAGGACTATTTGATCACAAAATATATTATTCACACAATACTCTATTCCTATTGGCTGTTGGATGAAATTGAGGATCGATACAAGTGCTCAAAAACAAATAAGCAGCATTGCACTACCAAGACACAAAACCACTCTTGTTGACTCTTGAACCAAAAGTCCATATATTCTCAATATCACACACATCCTCATCGTCCATAAATACCTCACACAACTCAATCAAAATGACCAAAAAAAAAACAATAACACTAACAAATCATCTCACATCTGCCATCAACAACAACATAACCCACCGTCAGTCGCTGCTCCCTTCGTGTTGTTTTCGTTCAAAACCCATTGAACTCACAAACATCCCCTTCTAGAAACTCCATGTTCTGCCCCTCTCTCAACCTTCCATACTCTCCTTCGGTGTCACCGCCTTCTCCTGTGGTGGATTTGAAGTTTACTGAGAAGAAAGAGTATTTGGTTGATCCATCAATTCCTGATATAAAAGACAACATATATGCAAGTGATGAATTTCGGATGTTTTCTTTCAAGGTTCGTCCTTGTTCTCGTGCGTACTCTCATGATTGGACTGAGTGTCCATTTGTTCATCCGATAGAGAATGCTCGGAGGAGAGATCCTAGGAAGTTTCATTACAGTTGCGTGTCTTGCCCGGAATTTAGGAAAGGGACTTGTAGGCGTGGAGATTTGTGTGAATATGGTCATGGAGTATTCGAGTGCTGGCTACACCCAGCTCAGTATCGAACACACCTCTATAAAGATGGCACTAGTTGTAATAGAAGGGTGTGTTTTTTTGCACACGTTGCAGAGGAATTGAGGCCGTTGTATCCGTCAACTGGGTCTGCGGTTCCTTCACCACGTTCATCTGGATCTGCTCTTAATGTGATGGACATGGCTGCTACAATGAACCTTTTGCCTGGTTCACCCTCCGCAGCCTCTTCCATGTCTCCTCATTTTGCCCAGCCAATGTCCCCTTCTGGAAATGGCATCTCATGGGCACAACAAAATGTTCCAGCTCTTCTTCATTTACCAGGAAACAATCTTCAATCTAGTCGATTGAGATCTTCCTTTAGTGCTCGCGACATTCCGCCCGAAAACTTCAGTGTGCTTAGCGATTTTGATGGTCAACAGCACCTTATGAATGACTTGAGTTGTTTCTCACAGCCCCATCCTGGCTCTTGTCAGTCTAAAGCACCAATGCTGTCAAATCATGAAGAGCTCTTTTCTGCTGAGGTTTTATCATCTCCCCGGTATTCTGACCCACAAATGCCCTTCTATTTTCTTGTTTTATTTTAATGTGTTCTCTTGTTAATATTTAAAAACAAATATATATAAAAATATTAGTAAATCTTATAATTAATTTAGTTAATATTAATTTAGAATTCTTTAATTAGTTTAGATTTATTTTATAACTTTAGAATTTTATTTGATTTAGTAAATTTTAGAATTTTATTTGATTTAGATTTAGTTTAGTAACTTTGGAATTTTCATTTGTTTTAGATTTAATTTAGTAACCTTAGGATTTTAATTTAATCTAGATTTAACTTACTAAATTTTAAAACTTTGGTTTAGTTTAGATCAAATTCAATAATACTAGATTTTTTTATAACCTTAGAATTTGTAATTAGTTTAGAATTATTTTAGTAAGTAATTTTTTAATTTAGTTCGAATAACTTCTTTAGATAATTAGTTATATTCCTTTTATTTGTATATTTCTGTCATTTCAATTTCTCGGTGCCTCTTGATCATTAATTTGTTTTTTGTCAGATTTATTTTCTTGTGAACTTCTAAATGTTTATATTTTGATGTTCATTTTATTTTGCTTACTCCAAGGAAAAGATTTAAATTTGTTGACTTCACGTCATCAAATACATCTCATCCGATCGTGCGAATACCTTTTTTCATTTTTTGTTTGTTTACTATTTTGCTAAACTCAAGATAATTTTCCCAAAAAGACTCCATTTTCAAACTCACACCGTTTAAGTCAAAACTTCGACATTAGGTCGTCGTATCTTCAAAAATCTCGTCCATACCCATCTTTTAGCCAAACGAATCATTTTAATCAAACAAACAATTTTAACCAAAAACAGATATTTCAAAAGGTTCCTGCGGAGTACCGCAGATGCATTGGGTGCTAATACCTTCCCATTGTATAACCAACCCCCGAACTTTAGATCTCTTTTAAAAACGCATTGTATTTTCATTACTTTTAAGTATTATTTCACATTGCATATTTTAGGGTTTTATTTCGCTCTTTTCCCTTTTCCCTTGGAAATAATAAAGCGCGGTGGCGACTCTTGCTTTTTGTGAGTCAAGTTAATTAATAGCTTGATCTCCGATTTTCACCGCTACACAAGGCTATTGAAAAAAGTAGCTAACAGACTCTGGTAACCAAGGTTGACAATATCGAGATGCCATTAGGAACTCTTCGAGAACATTTTTTGGACCACGAGGTGTTGCAAGAACTCCGTGATTTTTGCTTAACAAGTTGCTCTAAACCCGAATAGTGTACTAGTTTGAAGACGGCTACTCAACAACTAATGATGAAGGTGTCTTACAAGTAGAGAAGATATTTCGAGAAGAAGAGACTGATGGCTTGGAAATTCCTTATTATCCGAGAAGCATCTCAGTAACACCAGGTACCCCCATTGACAATTCAGGCTCCTACTACCCCGTTAATGATTCAAGCTCCAATTACCCCCGCGATAACTCAAGCTCCTATTCCTCCTTTATGTAATAACTCAAAGGCAGTTCCGTGGGAGTTTAATGTGGTCTATATTCTTGGGAAGAAATATGAGTGTCCTCCAGTGGCTGACAAGAGTATTACCAACATTTCCGAAACCAGTAACATGACTCGTAGTGGCAGGATCTTTTCTCCCTCACCACCGCTTCCCAAAGAAACTAACAGTAATGCTCTGGCTAAGGCTAGGGGCAAGCAAGTGATTGATAGTCAGCCTAAACCTTTTGTAGGACAAGAAGCGGAGCAGATTTTGAGGATTCTTAAGCGAAGTGATTACAAAGTGGTGGATCAACTCAATCAGACGCCATCCAATATCTCCATATTGTCTCTCCTCTTGTGTTAAGAGACCCACCGTAATGCTTTACTGAAGATTTTGTGTTCCGTCCATGTTACTCGAGACATTTATGTGGCCCAGTTTGAAGGGATCGTAACCAATATTTCTGTAGGAAATTGTTTGGGTTTCTGTGATGATGAGCTTCCAATTGAAGGCAGAGCCTACAACAAAGCGCTGCATGTTTCTATAAAGTGTTTGGATACGGTTTTATCTCGAGTTTTGGTAGATACAGGTTATTCACTCAATGTGATGCCTAAAGCTACTCAGTTTAAGCTGAATATGGACGGGGAGATGATGAGGCCTTCTATCTATCATGATTGGTCCCCACACTTTCTATCTATCATTCTATGTTATGGACATTCGTCCATCCTATACATGCCTTTTAGGTCACCCATGGATCCATGTAGTTGGAGCTGTGACATCTACTCTTCATCAACGCCTGAAGTTCATTGTGAATAAAAAATTTATTGTCGTTTGTGGAGAAGAAGATGTAGTGATTAATAATATGCCAACCTAATGTTATGTGGAAGTAGAGGGTTAGGTGCAGGAGTTTCTCTTTCAAGCTCTGGAGATTGTTACTGTTAACAAGTTCCCCATTGTCAAAAGTAAGAAGTCTGAAGCACCCATGGCCTCTTTTAATGATGCCAAAGCCCTCATAGAAGCTAGATCTCCCCATGATGGTTAGGAAAAATTGATTGAAGTACCTGAGAAGAAAGATCGTTGTGGTCTTCAATATCAACCATCATCCTACACACAAGCTAGTTTGGTTCCTCCCAAAGGAAAGTAGGTTCCCCCAATTTCTGATGTGTTCATCAGTGCTGGTACAAGCAAAGAAGGACAAGTGCTCTCAACAGATGAGGAAGGTGACGATGAAGATGTTTTCAGATTTATCTATCAGATTGCACCAGACAAAGAGCTCAGCAATTGGACTATCGTGGACATCCCTGAAGTTTTTTTCTTTGCAGTGTAATATCTTGTTTCCATTAAGTCATATGGCCTGCCCAATGCATAGAGACAACTTGTAGAAAGGGCCCTTTATGTTTCAATCTCAGTTTAAAATTGAATGAAAACTCACACTTTCATATACAATTTTGTTCCCTGTCTTTTCTTTTAGTTTTACTTTTTCAAAATAAAAGTGGCAATGCTTTCCTTCCATATTCTAAATATTTTCTTGTACTTTCTAAAATAAAACATAAAATCATCAATCATGCAGATCTGTCTCGAACTCCATTGAAAATGATAGTGTTATGGTTCCTTATATCCTTTAGAATTAGTTGACCATACTGACGAAGATAGTGTGGAAGATTGTGAAGTACCTGAAGAACTAGTAAAACTCTTGAGATAGGAATAGAAGGTCATCCAGCCATATCAAGAAGAAACATAAGTTATCAATCTCGTTACTGAAGAGGTAAAGAGAGAAGTCAAGATAGGTGTTGCTTTGCAAAGTGAAGAAAATAAGGGGTTGATTGAGTTGCTTCGAGAGTATGCTGACATCTTCGCTTGGTCGTATGAAGACATGCCCGATTTAGATACTGATATAGTGATGCACATATTACCACTCAAGCCAGAATGCCCTCCTGTAAAACTGAAGCTGAGAAGGACCAGACCTGACATGGCTTTGAAGATCAAAGAAGAAGTTTAAAAACAACTTGATGCGGGCTTCCTATCTGTGATAAGTTATTCACCTTGGATTGCTAACATTGTGCCTATACCTAAGAAAGATGGTAAGGTACATATGTGTGTTAACTACGGATACTTGAATAGAGCAAGCCCGAAGGATGATTTCCCGTTGCATCATATTGATGTATTGGTTGATACTACTGCTCAGTCTTCAGTTTTCTCTTTCATGGACGAATTCTCAGGTTACAATCATATAAAGATAGCTCCTGAAAACATGGATAACAACTCCTTGGGGTACCTTTTTCTATAGGGTCATGCCTTTTGGTCTCAAAAATGTTGGTGCAACATATCAGCGAGCTATGGTGACTCTCTTTCACGACATGATTCATAAAGAGATCGAGGTGTATGTGGACGATATGATCACAAAATCACAAACTGAGGAACAACATTTAGTCCATTTATAGAAGTTGTTTGATCGTCTACGAAAGTTCAGGTTAAGGCTTAATCCCAACAAGTGCACCTTCAGGGTTCGATTGGGAAAGTTACTTGGTTTTATTGTAAGTCAGCAAGGGATTGAAGTAGATCCAGACAAGGTAAGAGAAATACAGGATATGTCGACATCAAAAACTGATAAAGAAGTACAAGGTTTTCTTGGAAGTTTGAATTATATATCCAGGTTCATTTCTCATCTTACTTCTACCTGTGAACGCATATTTCAATTGTTGCGCAAGAATCAAGATGTCCATTACGATGAAAGTTGTCAAGAGGCTTTCTAAAAGATTAAACAGTACCTTTAGGAACCACCAATACTCATACCTCCAGTTCCAGGGAGACCTCTCATTATGTATTTGACTGTACTTGAAGGATCTATGGGTTGTGTGCTCGGACAACATGATGATACTGGACGAAAATAACACGCCGTCTATTACCTGAGCAAGAAATTTACTGATTATGAATCAAGGTATTCATTACTTGAGAAGACTTGTTGCGCTCTTACATGGGCAACCCGATGTTTGAGGCAGTACATGTTGACGCATTCTAGACTTCTGATATCTAAGATGGATCCGGAAAAGTACATCTTCGAGAAACCATCACTTACAAGCGGATTGGCTCGATGGCAAATGCTTTTGTCTGAGTATGACATCCAGTACGTCACACAAAAGGCTATCAAAAGTAGCATTCTTGCTGGTCATCTCGCCCACCAGCCATTAGAAGAGTATCAGTCAATGATGTTCGACTTTCAAAACAAGGATGTTATGAAACTTGATGATAAAGAAGGACCTAAACAAGGGGAGCAATTGACTCTCACGTTAGATGTTGCATCAAATGCCACGGGCCATGGTATTGGGGCAGTTTTAACTTCTCCATGCATTACTCACATACATTTCACCGCCAGACTATGTTTTCATTATATGAATAATGTCACAGAATACGAAGCTTCTGTAATGGACCCTGAAGCAGCCACTGATTTGAAGATCAAGATTCTTGAAGTTTATGGGGACTCTGCCTTAGTGATACATCAAGTACGAGGTAATTGGGATACACGACACCCTAATTTATTTCCATACCGGGATTACATATTAGATTTGTTTCCCACTTTTG